CAGGGAGGACTTTAGAGTATCCTTGTATCGGCAACTTTGACCTCTTTGGCAGCGAGAGCACGTCTCGACGTCTCCAAAGCAGAGTCGATTGGGTAGTCGCTCGTTGTCCATGCGCACCAGGTGGCCGCTCCAGCCCAGCTGCATTTGTCTCAGCGTGGTGTAGATACTGAAGATTCCCGTCCGTTCCAGTACATCTATGTCGGGGATTCGATCCTACCACCTCGGCAGTAGTCAGTAGTCCTGTGGTGAGGTACCTGACTAATTTATCTTTGACACTTTAGTCCCATTTCCTTTGACCGCATTGCTTGTTTGAATGTGACGAGAAACGACACACCTGTACAACCCGCCGTGCTAGCGTGCTCTGCTGTGGTATTCTGTTGTCAGTTTTCATAACGTTCAAAAACCTCTATATTATTCACTGCTCCGATTTACTTGCTGCATTTAAGGCTAGGGACTCGTGAGATATAACTCGTTAGTTCGTGAGAACATTACGAATTACGACATTGGTGACCCCGACGTTTACGCAGACTTTATAGCTTTCTGTCATACTAGATAACATTTAACGTACTATTTGCTTGTGAATATCTATTCCATTTACATTTACTTTCCTCACGAATTCTGATATTTTGACATCTCTGTCTTATTATGTCTCACTCCGATCAAAAACTTGATGCCCCCGCCCAGTCCCTTCATGCAATCAATTTTACGTTGCCTGAATTCTGGCAACACGCTCCAGAACTTTACTTCATCCGCATAGAATCAGCCTTTTATTCTGCCAACGTTACCAAGGAGCTAGCAAAATACCACAAACTCGTGGAGGTCCTCCCCGCCAGTGTCATCTCTCAAGTTCAGTCCTTGCTAGCTAATCCTCCTGCAGATGCTCCATACTCCGCGTTAAAGGCAGAAATCCTTAGACTTAATTCTGTGTCTGACCGACAGAGGTATCACCAGTTAATTAAGGAGGAGTAACTGGGTGACCGGAAGCCGTCAGAGCTTCTACGTCGGATGCGTTGTCTCCTTGGAGACATGCAAGTTGCTGATAAATTTGTCAAGGAGATGTTCCTGGAGCGCCTGCCCACAGATGTTCAAACGATCCTGGCGTCCGGCTCTCAGGATCTCACAGTGTCACAGTTGGCTGAGATGGCCGATCGAATGATAGAGGTGCAACGATTCCAGTCACCTTCCGTTGCCCAGATCTCATCCTCATCGTCAGTGAATGAGCATTTACTAAAACAGGTGTCGGCCATTGCAGATGAGATGGCCTCTCTTAAAATACAGCTCGCCCGCCTAACTTCCAGTCGCTCACGCAGTCGTCGTCGTTCTCGTTCGCGACCTCGGACTGCTGATACTTGCTAGTACCACACTAATTTCGGCGTAAAGGCCCGTCGCTGTTCCTCACCTTGCTCTTTTAAGCCAAAACAGGGAAACCAGTCAGCCAGAGAATAGATGCGACCGTTTTCTCTGGCTCCTCCGGCTCTGGTCGCACCTTCTATGTTTGCGACACTGCGACTCGCAGACGTTTTCTGGTGGACACTGGAGCTCAAATCAGTGTTGTTCCCCCAACTGCAGCTGATCGCCGTTTCCCTAGTCCTGGTCTCCATCTTCAAGCTGCTAACTGTTCCCCAATTCCCACTTTTGGCAGTCTGTCCCTCACCATGAACATTGGCCTTCGTCGGTCATTTACTTGGATCTTTGTGATTGCTGATGTCCCTCATGCAATCCTCGGCTCGGACTTCCTTGCCGAGTTCGATCTCCTTGTTGACTGTCGACGTGCCCGTCTCCTCGACCGCAAAACCGGTCTGTTCGTCCGTGGACTAACTCCATTTACTGCCCCCACCAACTTATCTGTCCTGGATACAGATATTGCTAGTCCTTTTCGGCAACTGCTGCTTAGTCACCCCAATATAATTAACCCCCAGTTTCGCAGTGGTGAAGTTAAACATGATGTTGTGCACCATATCCGCACCTCAGGTCCTCCCGTGTTTGCTCGACCGAGACGACTAGCACCGGAGCGTTTTCAGGCCGCGAAGGCGGAGTTTGAACACATGCTGCAACTGGGAATAATTCGACCGTCCGAGAGCCCTTGGGCGTCCACATTGCACATGGTGCCCAAGACAATATCAGGCGACTGGCGGCCCTGTGGTGACTATCGCGCCCTCAACAATGCGACCATCCCGGATCGTTATCCCGTCCCTCATCTTCAAGATTTTGCTGGAGCTCTTTTCGGCAAATCGGTTTTCTCGAAGATTGACCTTGTTCGGGCCTTCCATCAGATTCCTGTCGCTCCTGAGGATGTTCCCAAAACTGCCGTCACCACACCATTCGGCCTGTTCGAATTTGTTCGCATGCCATTTGGTCTTCGCAATGCTGCCCAAACATTCCAGAGGTTCATTGATCGAGTCCTACGTGGTCTCCCGTTTGTGTACGCCTACATCGATGACCTCTTGGTGGCCAGTCGAAATGCCGAGGAACACAAAGAGCATCTTGCCTTAGTGTTTGACCGCCTCGATCAGTTTGGCGTGGTCATTAACCCTTCCAAGTGTGTCCTGGGTGTGCCGTCCCTTGATTTTCTTGGTCACCATATCGATGCACAAGGTTTGCGTCCCCTCTCTTCCAAGGTTGAGGCCATTCGTGACTTTCCTCCACCAACCTCCAAGCGTCAGCTGCAACGTTTCCTTGGCATGGTAAACATTTTTCGCCGGTTCCTACCGAACTCTGCCGACCTTATGCTGCCACTCACCAACTTGCTCTCTGGTCCCAAGGGTCCCCTTGAGTTATGTGGCCACGAGCTGACTGCATTTGAGAGACTAAAGACCTCCCTTGCTGATGCTACCTTGCTCACTCATCCTGCTCCAGAAGCCCCATTGTCCCTGATGGTTGATGCTTCAACCGTTGCCGTAGGAGCAGTCCTCCAACAGCATATCAACAACTCGACACGACCGTTGGCATTCTTCTCCAAGAAGCTTTCACCTGCCGAGACGAGATATAGCACGTTTGGCCGTGAACTTCTTGCCATTTACCTAGCCGTAAAACATTTCCGACACTTCCTTGAGGGTCGTGACTTCACCATTTTCACAGACCACAAACCACTTACATTTGCCATCCGATCCCATTCTGACAAATATAGCCCGAGAGAGATTTCTCATTTGGATTACATCTCGCAATTCACCACCGACATCCGCCACATTGATGGCCCGAAGAATGAGGTGGCTGATATGCTGTCCAGACCCTCACTGTCTTCCCTCCAACTCTCACACGGGATCGATCTTTGTGCCATGGCGGCTGAGCAGCAGCGAGTCGGTTGTCCTGGCGACGAGTCTGTTAGTGGTCTTCAACTCAAAGACGTTCCTCTGACCACCGGCTCTGGTACCATACTTTGTGACATCTCAACTCCCTTTCATCGCCCTTTTGTGCCCGCCTCGATGCGTCGAGCTGTATTTCAAACTCTGCATGGACTCTCCCACCCTGGGATCCGAGCCTCTCAAAAGCTCCTCGCGGAAAGGTTTGTCTGGCCTGGCATGAACAAGGACGTCAAAGCTTGGGCCCGGTCGTGTCTGAGCTGCCAGCGCAACAAGGTGCAGCGTCACAACAAGTCCCCACCAGGCACTTTCCCCAGTCCCGACGCACGGTTCAGCCATGTGCACCTGGATGTCGTAGGCCCCTTGCCTCCATCCAATGGTTTCACCTACCTCCTTACCTGTGTCGATCGATATACTCGCTGGGCTGAAGCTATTCCTTTGCCGAATGTTCAGGCTGAAACCATCGTGAAGGCCTTCGTCAGTCGTTGGGTCGCCATGTTCGGTGGCCCATCCACGGTTACGACTGATCGTGGTGCCCAGTTTGAGTCGGCTCTCTTCCAAACGCTACTCAATTTCCTTGGCTGCACACGCATTCGGACGACAGCCTACCACCCCGCTGCCAACGGTATGGTGGAACGTTTCCATCGCCAGCTTAAGACCGCCCTGCGTGCAGTAGAAGACCCAGGAAACTGGTCGGACAACCTTCCTCTTGCACTCCTCGGCATCCGCGCAGCTCTGAAGTCGGATCTGGGCTGTAGCGCAGCTGAATTGGTTTTCGGCACTACCCTCCGACTGCCAGGCGAGATGATCACCCCAACCTCTCGTGGAGCCGACGAGACTCCTGACAATCTTGTGCACCGTTTGCGACAATTTATGCGCTCGCTTTCCCCGGTTCCACCTCGAGCTCCAATGTCTGAGTCTTATGTCGAAAAAGACTTGGACAAGTGTACTCATGTGTTCGTCCGGTGTGACCGTGTGCGCCAACCGCTGGAATCACCATATGTAGGACCGTTCCGCGTGCTCGCGCGCAACACCAAGACCTTCCGGATTCTTCGCAGTGATAAGGAGGACGTGGTCAGTGTCGATCGGGCCAAGGCTGCTGTTGCGGAGGAGCCGCCGGACCTGTCACAAGGACAAACATGTGCTGACCCCCTAACCCCTGTTCCTCCATCTTCCCTATCCCCTACTCGTTCACCCTGCCCATTGCCTTGCCCTTCCCCTCCCTTGCCCTCTACCCCTCCGTCCCGCATACTTCCTCTCCCTACATGTCAACAGCATCCAACTGCAACACCATCGTCCACCACAGCACGCAGTCAACCCTCCTCGACTGTACCTCCTGCATACATAACTCACAGTGGCCCTCACGTTCACTTTCCTGATCGTTTAGCTACCCATTTTTTCTAGACTTGTGCATATCCTCCGGCGCCGTATCTCGTCGCCCTCCGGTCTAGAAGGGGGGTACTGTGGTGAGGTACCTGACACTTTAGTCCCATTTCCTTTGACCGCATTGCTTGTTTGAATGTGACGAGAAACGACACACCTGTACAACCCGCCGTGCTAGCGTGCTCTGCTGTGGTATTCTGTTGTCAGATTTCATAACGTTCAAAAACCTCTATATTATTCACTGCTCCGATTTACTTGCTGCATTTAAGGCTAGGGACTCGTGAGATATAACTCGTTAGTTCGTGAGAACATTACGAATTACGACAGTCCTTCACGATTCATCGTGTCGAAAGTTTTCGTCAGGTCCGCGATGGTAGAGTACACGCGAATACGCATCTCCTGGCACTTTTCCTGCAGTTGACGGACGGCGAAGATCATGTCCGCGGTCCCGCGGTGACGACGGCACCCGCACTGGCTTTCCAACAGGAAACCCTGTTCTAGGTGATTATTCAGGCGGTTGAGGAGAATGCGTGTGAATACCTTTCCGGCGATTTTCGGGCTAGGAGATGCCTCGGTGATTGTAGCAGACTCGGCGGTTTCCTTTTCGCGTGTATATATGAACCACTGTTGCATCTTTGAAATCTTGCGGGAATTCACCTTGACGCCAAATCTCCTGGAAGAGCGCAGTCAGGTGATCCATAAATTGGGGGGGGGGCGCCGTGCTTATAGACCTCAGCAGGAATCGCGTCCGATCCGGGTGCTTTCATACTGGAGACCTGCTGCACGGCCCTGGTGGTATCCTGGAGAGATGGCGGGAGGTCGAGGTCCACGTTGGTCTCCACTTGCGACAAACGGGCAATAGCGGCGTCGGAGATGGCAAAGGGGCGGTTAAGGACGCAAAGGAAGTGTTCGGCCCATAACTATAGAATTTGTGTCTTCTCTGTCAGGAGGGTACTGCCATTGGCGCTGAGGAGAAGAGAAGTGACTTTGGTCGACGGACAGCAGACAGCTTTGATCGCAGAGAAGAAGTTATTCCATTTTTTGCGGTCCGCATACCATTGCATCTGCTCAGTCTTACAAGCCGCCCGGGCGTCCTGCATCTCGCGCATGTGTTGCTGAAGGTGGCGGCGACTACGGTAGAAAGCAGCTCTGTTGTCGTCAGTGGGGTGGTTTACGTAGGCTTTGTGTAGGCGGTTCTTCTCAGCAAGCAGACTTCTGATGGCGGCGTCGTAGTCGTCGAACCAGTCCTGGGGTTGACGGGGTGCACGACAGAGGACGGCGAGCGCCGTCGACTGGAGTGTGTCCCTCAGTTGACACCATCGGTTCTCCACGGAGGCGTTCTCGTCAGCGGCGGCGACGTCGTCGGCGACGGCAACGACTGGAAGGTTGTCTAGCTATTGAGTTTGCTCACTGCTGAAATGAAGATGATGAGCGACCAAAAACAACAAAGCAACATTCAGCTTACCTGGGGGTCGCTTACCTTGTGGTCTCCTGCGAGGCTGTAGGCGAATACGCATCTTCGAGATGACGAGGCGATGGTCGGTCCACCCGTCAGCACCCGCGATCGCCTTCGTCATCAGCACGTCCCGCTGATCTCGTCTCCGGACGAGGACATAGTCCAGCAGGTGCCACTGACGCGACCGAGGATGCCTCCAGGTGGCCTTCTCTCGCTCCGGCAGACAGAAGAACGTGTTCGTCAGGATGAGGCGGTGTTCTGCGCAGGTGCGGAGGAGAAGCAGGCCGTTGTCGTTGGAGCCGCGGAGACCGTGAGGACCCAGCACTCCTCTCCAGGCAGTATGGTCTGTGCCAACGCGGGCTTTGAAGTCACCAAGGACAATCAACTTGTCCGCCTTCGACACAGTCGCCAAGAGGGCATGCAGGTCCTCGTAGAATTTTTCTCTGACGGCGTCGGGGCTGGTCATCGGCGGAGCGTAGGCGCTGATGATGGTGGCGAACTTGCCTCCTCGCAGGAGGGGCAGACGGAGGCTCATTAGGCGGTCGTTGATTCCCTGCGGCAAACAGGGTAGTCGTCCCACGATGTCGGTCCGGATGGCGAAGGCGACACCCGCGTCTCGTCGCTCTGCCCTGGGTCGACCACTCCAGAAGAAGGTGTAACCGGCACCCACCTCCTCCTCCAGTTGGCCTTGTTCGGAGAATCGGGTCTCGCTGAGTGCGGCGATGTCCACCTTGTAGCGCGCCAGTTTTCGTGCCACTAGCGCCGTCCTCCGTTCCGATCGGTTGCTCCTCGGATTGTCTAAAAGGGAACGAACATTCCAGGCTGCCAGTGTGAGCGGGCTCACCCTGTCAGTCTGGGGAAAACGAGTGGGGCGACGGGAAGGAGGTGGAGAAGAAGATGACGAAGGAGAAGAATAGGCAGAAGAATAGACGGCGGTAGAGGTAGAAGAGGTAGGGTGAGGAGAATGAGTATGGTTATTGTTGTTGTTTCGAGTTTGATTGTTTCGACCGTGAGTTTTGCGTCTGCGACCACGGTGCGCCAGCAGACGACGTGGTTCCCCAGCAATTTTTAGGCCAGCTTTTCCAGGCCCCCCCGAAGGAAGCAGTGCCCTGACCCCTGAATAGGGGCTGCTTGATGTGCCGGCGCGGCCGAACTCCACTGTGGGCCACGAGTTTTTTTGGCAGTGGAAGAACGACTCGAATTTGCCAATGGCTTACGGCATTGCCGCAAGCCTGCGGTCTCCTACGGTGCACCAGATGGGCGCGTGTCGACGGTGCCAATTCGGAGATCCATCCCACCGGCTGATCAACGGCGTTTCAGGCGGATCCTCGTCTCGACGATGCCGATGCGACGTTCCACCATCAACTGGCTGACCAGCGGTGTGCTCGACTGAGCCTCGTCACGACGGTGCCGACGCGGTGTTCCATCCGACCAACCGTCCACGGAGTCCGCAGTCACCTGTGCACGCGGAACAACGCGCACAGGGAGTAACCGCCCTCCCCTGGTTTAGCCTGCCGGTCGAGGCCGTTGCCCGAGGTGTGGCCGCTGAGCAGAGCCCAGCTACGTGGAGCCACAGGTGAGAGTTGAGTGCCAGCAAGTGGACGCTAGACGTAGTCTCACCTGCAAGAAAGTGAGCGACCACTACGACCTTCACGTGAACCCACCGCTGACACCCCTACACCCCACACACGCACACACACACGCGACAGTTCGACCATCGGTTTCGATGATGTGCATCGTGTGCTCCACAGTTGCAGCAGCAATGGGAGCAGGGACGGTGACTTACGCAGGGGTTTATAGTGCCAGTAGACTTGCGCTGCATCTACCACACTCTCTCCTCCTCCCCCGCCTGGGCCCGGTGTCAAGACAGAGTCTAGAAGACCGGAGATGAGGGAGGCCGCAGGTGGACGGCTCGGACGGATCCTCACCTTGGCGCTCCACTCCGCACCGCCTGGTCCACGCAACGAATGACCAGAATTTCAACCAACACAACACGGATTGAAGGCTGGCACGGCCGAAGCAGCCTCACCTAGGTGCGCCGCAAACTCCTGGCTCGGATCCCACACTGTGGTGGGAATGCCATTAAGGCCACATTAAGAAGTAACACTTTTTTCTGCCTGACTGCCGGAGCGAGAGAAGTCCATCTGGATGCATCCTTGGTCGCGTCAGTGGCACCTGCTGGAATTTGTCCTCGTCCGGAGACGAGACCAGCAGGACGTGCCGGTGACAAAGGCGATCGCGGGTGCTGACGGGTGGACCGACCATCACCTTGTCACCAACAGGATCTCGAAAGCCAGTCAAGCCTTCGATGGCCTCCAAAGCACAGTTTGGAATCGTCATGGT